CATTATTTCTGTGTGTATATGCAGTTTTGTGTGTTCATCTCATGCTGTGTGGGTAAAAAGCTGTGTAGAGGAACAGTAAATTATATGACAGAAATAAAGAAGCCATTTTGAACAAGACTTTCCCTAAGTTTTTAGAAGAAAACTGAAGAATAATTTTCTTTAAAAGTACAAAGCATTTTTCAGTAGGGAAAATAATTACTTATTCTGGAATGTGAGCAGGGCAGTGGATACCTGACCTGTAATTTAGGAAAAGAGTGAAGGGTTTTTCATCAGTAATTATTATTATTATTACAGTAGAACTGTGGGGCCCCAGTTGAGACCAGGACTCTCTTGTGCTAGGCGCTGTCTATCTAGCAAGAGATAACCACTGCCGCAGGAATCTTGCAGCAAAGGCAGGGCAGACCCAGGAGGAGAAGGGAGGAGATGGAGGTAGAAAGCAGAAGTGGTTAGCCCAAGGTCATGCTACTCGCTAATGGACACTGCTGCCTTGCACCAATAAGTCACCTATAGACACTTCGTCCGAGTTCGGCGCGAGTCGTGTGTCGGACTTTTGTAATGTGGCATCCCTGATCAGAGAGAATGGCTGGGATTTGAATGGGTAATTTGCTTGTGTGAAAGAGCATCTCGAAGGACCAGCCCTTTGTACAGGCTATCCTCTACAACATGGGAATCGGGTACACAGATCTTCCTTGAAAGTTTTGGGCTAGATTCTGCTTAGCGTACGCAGTATATGAGAACATACATTTTTAGGGCCATGATGATATAATGGTTGGCTCTCTGGTTTGCCTTGATGTAATCAACCGAGTATAAAATGCTTCAGACTACAGAGCATTTGCTTGTGAAGTAAATCTTTGTCACTAGCAATTTTTTGTATCGATAAAACACTGTTTATGGGGGAAATAATGAATGAAGAAACAGTGTGAATAAGACCCTTTTTTAAAATGTGGTCACTGAATTCTCATAGAGAAAGAACTATGTGTTAGTTTGAGAAACCATGAGGATCTTTAAATTCAGTTGCTCTTTTGATACACTGGACCTTATTTTTGGTTAGAAAAATAACGATAATAATGCTTTGCTGCTTGAAAAACGGCAGTCTATGTATTTACTAACTGGAGCAGGGATCAGTTCTGCCCTGCCTGATCAGTAGTATTCTGCTTAGTTACTAGTCCTGCTAAACTTACCTCACTTTGGGAGTTCCAGTATCCTTTTTCGGTGATGAATCACTGAGCTCGTATTTGATAGCGAGTGAGGCTAGTAGAACTGCCCCCAGGTAAGCAAGCACTTGTATTATTTGTTGTCCCTGAAATAAGGGGCCTGTCCAGTGGTTCCATACCACTGCCACGTGTGTTCCTTTGCACAGCGACAAATCAAATAGATTTACACTTTATTCTCCAAGCTCACAGAGGCAATGGGAAAAAAAAAGAATGTTTGGAATTTGCAATGCTATGTGTAGCAGCTCTGCTTCAGTGGGCGAAAATTTATGTGGGGTATTAGAGCTGGCAAAAGGGGTAGGGACAATAGCGAAACTGTGATGCATTTGATTGTGTGGCAGTAGAGCGGCCCCATCCTTACCCACCGTACTGGCCGTTCCTCATGACACCCTGGGATGCAGATGAAATTAAAAGGGTGAAGGGAAGAAGGCACATGTTGCAGAACCTCTTCCATCTTGCAAGACGCTGCCATCAAATTACATTTTCAGGCCATTTTGTTTTACTGCCTTCTGCAGTGTGGTGATTCAGAAGCAATGGGAGGTTCCAATCCCAGACATTTCTTTCTTTTGGTTACCACACATTGAGAATGGAAACCTGAATGTCTCAGACATCTCTGTGTTTTTAATGGTTTGCAATAGTTAAGTCCGTAACAGAGATGCATGTGACTCATATTGAACTTGTGGCACAAACCGGGTCAAAATCCTGAAATTATCTATGGAAACGCCATGGTATATCAAGAAATTATGCCATTTTTTACCGGCGTCGTATTCATTACAGAGAGGCAGGCATCTCATTTAGTGCTGCTTGTGTAGTAAAAGCCTGGTGCACAAACATGTTTGAAAATGCATGTCATGGTTTTCAAATATATGAAATTCTAGCGGGCATTTGAGAAAACATTCACAAGTCACAGTCATTTCATAGACTTTGTCCTTGCTTGGTGTTACTAGCATTCTATAAGTTTCCTCTTTTTAAAAATGGTTGTCACGCAGCCAGGAAACCAAAATGATACCATTTGCATTTATTACTAATGGCTTTTCTACAGGGTACTGGCCTATAAATATTCAACAACAAAGACTGAAAATAGAGAGCTCTGTTGATTCACTGTAGTTTCTGTTTGATGTAATCCACATTTTATGTTTAAGCTTGTCCTCACTGCTGAGAGATGTTTTATTCTTTTTATCCTTTGGATAAGTAAGAGCAATCCTGATGCCAAAGCACAGTAAAGACTTAACTTTTTACCACAAGGTAAACTCATTGAGGTCAAACAGTAGTTCCACCTGGTGCTGTACCCTGTAAGTTTACCTTGTGGTAAAACCTGTGCTTTTATCCTGGAATTGCTCCTGCACACCACAGTGTCTGTTCTTTATAATGCTTTTATCTTGGGACAGTTCATGGGAGTGCTATTGAGTGACGAAAAATGCTGCTTTTTTAGCAGTGGAGGCAAGTCCTTTGTTTCAGCATAGAAAACATGATTTCCATCCACACAGACTTCAAATGAAACAGTGGGAATTCTTGAGAGCCTGATTATCATGGCATAATCACATTATCAGAGAGATTAGAAGCACTTTACTGTGTCTTTATGGTTTAGTGACACTCTAAGGCACTGGACAAAATCTTCAAGTGCTGTTAAAATCTTTCTTGTAGGGCACTAAGGCAGAAGAGAGCTTTTTACCTATGGGCCCTAAAATCACAGAGAACGTGCTTAATTCTTCTGTCAGAGAGCTGCAGAACCAAACACAAGCCGAACGTGTAGTTACTGGTCTTTACTGTCTCATCTGGATATATTTCTCAAAGTGACCTGCAGCAGAGCAAAGCAAAAGCCTCGTAAAATTTTAATTCCTATCAGTTCCAGTCATTGTGAAACACTGTCATTAACCAGGCAATCAAATTAATTGAATACAGAAGCGTTAGCAATTCAAACAAGTGAGGAATTCACAGTGTGTTTTCTTTAGAAACCTTGGTGGACTCTTGGATGCTGTTCCTTTTGTGGGTGGTGGCTGGCTAGAACAGTAAGATGCCCACTTTTAGCGTATGTCTCTCCACTGCTGTGTTGCCTTGAGGTAAGCAGTCCGCAACCCATGTCTTGTAGGCGAGATGTTGCCTGAAAGACTCTGAATAGCTTGTGACTATGGGAAGTGAAAAAGTTAAAGCTGAAAGTGAGAGCAAAGCATGTGATTTTCGTAACGTGTTCCTTGTTGTGTATGGTTGCCAAGGGCCACTGAAGATTTGGGGATTAATGTTATGATCATATGGTTCCCAATATAAAGGATTCCGTTGATAATTAGCCCAGAGTGAAGAAAGCTAAAAATAATCAACAGAAAAGCCTTTTCAGATGGGAGTCTGTGCCTCTGGAAGTGCACAGTATGGACAGTGTCTAGACAGAAAAGGTATGAAATACAAAACACGCATTTGACCTCAGTTAAAAGGCCAGGATGAAACAATCACGACAGAAAGAGTGACGGGGGAATTGCTGCACTTTAAAAGAAAACTGCTCCAGTAGTGAAGAAACATGGAATATGCCTAAACAGGTACTAAAAATGATCCTGGAAAAAGAATTTTAAAAATCAATTACAGTTTGTTTCACTTTGCTTGATTATTAGCATGTAAAACTGCATTTTTAAATTAACTGTAAAGGCTTTTACCTGCCAAGGCATGGAGTCAGGACTTTGTATGTCTCCAGCTGAGAGTACTAAAACACTTGCAGCAGGGAGCTGCATTCCTTCTCCTGTTTTAAGGAGTTAGGGAAATAGAAGGGAAACACATCACCATGGATGTGAGTGTAGAGGAGAATTGAAAGGAGGAGGATTTTTTTTTAAAAAACTTCCTCCTCTATTCTATATCTTTTAATGTAAAGCTTGATTCTTTGCATGAACAACTTCATGTAATCCACTGACTGTCTTGCCAGTAGAAAGCATAGCCCTAAACTGCCATTTTCTACTGATACTTTGGGACCTTAGACTCTGTTGATCTCTTTCGGATTCTCTCAAAATGAACCAAATGAAAAGTACAAAAATTGTAACACAAAACTCTGTGTTAAGCGTTCAGCTGCCAAGAGGCAGCTCTGAGGCTAATAAAAAAATCAGAGCACCTACAGCAAATTTTTTTAAATATTGGCCTGTTTCAGAAACAAGTACCAGACTACTCGGAGCATCCATGTAGTGACAGAACAATGAAAGTTCATCAGTCATCTATCAATCTCTGCAGTTGTAGAAAAGGCTGCCATCTTCGGGCAATGCTCAGTCATTGCACCCTTCTTTTTCTGCTCGAAAAATCAAAATCCACACACCGACTATAAGGTAACCAGGAGAGCACAGTGGAATCAATCCCAATCTTGAGCCAACCATTGCACTAGTCTCAAATACTCTAAAGTGTGCTTTCTGACTGCATGTGACCCATTGCACTCCTTGCATCTTGTGTTATTTTTTTGTTGTGCTTGATCCAAAGCATAAGCAAAATCTTTTTGCACTTTGCAGCTTGGAAATAGAGGTGCAAACTCAAGAAGCAGCAGCCAGTTTGATCTCAAAACACTGTTGTCTTTCCCTGTTCCTTCCTACAGCAATACGGGTAGTAATAAATCTTCCAGGAAAAAGGGGAGATTTCTTACTATTACTCATGACTTACCTGAAATAACTGGTGAAAACTCTTTATGTGAGAATGTAGAGGGAAAACTTCAGGATGTCCTAACTACCCTGAGACATATCAAATTGCATTAAAGGTTGAGTTGAATAGAGTAATTGCAAAGGAGTTTGTGAACATGGTGCACTGACTTATTTTTTTGTTGTATCTTAGGGTCGACCAGGACCGATTGGGCTTCAAGGACCGATAGGTGCACCTGGATTTACTGGGCCAGAAGGTTTGCCAGGAGCAAAGGGTGAGAGAGGAGCAGTGGGCCCCCCTGGACCAGCTGGACAGAAAGGTGACAAGGTAGGCTCAACAGTGACTTTTCTTTTCTGTCCCTGCAATAGATCTATGGCCGTGTATATATTTTTGAATGAATAAAGATAATCTTGGGCTATCTGCTTTGGGGTAAGAACACAACAGCATTTCATGAGTATCTTTAGAGAATTCTCTGCTTTTATTTTTGAATGAGAATACAGTTCCTAAGGCTGCTGAACATTGTAGCCATCCTCGTAGATGAATCCTAACCAAATGAGTATTGCTGTTGCAAGTAGTCTTTCGCTTCACATGCGCAGCGATAGATGGGTGTTATTCACACTACATTCAGAGAGACATGGAGCTGGTTCCTGTGTAGAAGATCCTGAGTTGGTGTCTAGAAAAGAAAAGGGAATGGGTACTAAATGTAACGTGCAATTCAGTTTTGCAGGTGCAAAGTTATTTATAACAGAAATAATATTATAAACTATGTCACAATAAATGGAATAACCCATAAGGTGTGGGTGTCAATGAATGCCGTGTGCAAGAATGGGCAGAACATCAAACGTAGAAATGTCTTAATGCCCTTAGGATCTGTTCTGCTGTCTCTTCTTAGGAAGGAAGTATCAAAAGGGGAGTTTGGAGCTAGGCAAAAGAATGAATGGAAGTGTGAACAAATACTTTCAATAATAAAGAGTGGATACATGTTGGTAGTTCACCTTAAGGAAAGTTTACATTGTGCACCAGGCATGTGTTGGCATCGTGAGTTTTGGGTTGCATGCAGAGGACTGACTGAGTCCCGCCACATACGCCAGCGCAGTGTATAAGCTCCCACCACGTAGCCTGACAGAGGTTGTGTAACAGATTATAAAATGGGGAAGTCTGATATTGTCTGATGCAAGGACTGGGATGAGATTCCTACTCTCAACAGCTTGAAAGCTTAAAAGACAGAGGAAGTCCTGCATGCTGTGCCTGGTTTCTAAAATCTGAAGGAAGTCTGGGACATTAGGACAAGGGCTTGCATTCTGGGACTATGCCGGAGCATCTTACCAGTCTACTTGATGAAAGGTGCTCAGGTCACGTGCAAATAAGAAGACGACGGATAGTTCAGGTACCAGGACCTGCAGAGCAGAGTTTGTCTTCCATGTTTTCCCAGCTACTGATAGGTGAGCTACCTAGATGAAAACTAGCTCAGTTGTACTTTCATATGCTGCAGTTACACGCTCTTCTCATTTAATATTAGTCAACATGTTGGAGTTCTAGTCACCCTTTCTCATAAGACAAAGAATGAAGTAAACTGAAAATTATTACAATTAAAATCATTGCTTTGGTGTTGCATTTATCTGAAAGGCAATGGAGGATTTAAAATAAGGACCGAGTGCCGATATGAGTGATAGCATTTTCATAAATCTAGCAGATCACACTGAAATCATTAAACATGGGTTTTGGAAGACACAGAAACCCAGGATAGGAACTGGCCTTTAACGATTGGAACTGATTTCCTTGCACTGAAAAAATCCTTTATTTACTCCAGAACTGCTGTTTCTATCCATTGAAATGGATACGTATGCAATACCAACGTGCAATAAGATTCTATCTTTCTGTCCCTTGGGGAAGCAATATACTTTACCTTTCCAAAGCAAGAGCAGTTCAGGCTGGATATTCTGCTTACGCAGTCTGTTTTGCTACTATCCAGAGCAGAGCAGTAGAACCAATGAAGTGGTAATTACTTGCAACTCAGCCAGGGGTGGTCTGAAGTTAATCCAGTGGTCTGCATATCTCCGGGTGGTGCTGTCCAAGTGTAGAGAGAAAAACCCGCAAGTCCTGTTGAAACTCTTGGAAGATCAAGTGTGACACTGAGAGTTAAGCTTATACTGGATTGTTTATTTTCCTGGCGTCTTGTTTTCTCCAGATGTGCAGTAGGAGATTATATTTTTACTTTAAATTGCCTGATTAAAACATTCCTGAAACACTCATTTGGCATCCGGTCAAGCTCAGATGCTCAGTTCCTATCTTCACTGACCCTGTGGTCAGAGAGAATCTGTATGAGATAGTTTGCTCCTTTTGGTTTTGAAAGATAAAGCCCAAGACTGAAAATGTTGGAGTGAAAAGTATTTCACGTGTAACTGAAATATACAGATTGCTGAAGTGAAATATAATGTGTACTCTTTTTCTTCAGGGCCCAATGGGAGTTCCAGGATTTCAAGGCATCAATGGGATCCCAGTAAGTTTGCATATGTAAATATAAATCACCAGAATGTTAGTAACAACCAAAAGCACGTAAGCACAATGAGACTGTCCTAGCGCATGCATAGGGTATCTTGCAAGTGCTTGCTTCTCTCTGGAGGGAAATGGCAGTGTTTGTTAGTCTACCTGGTGATCCCATGCTGTTTTGTAAGAGGTTTGGATCCTGTTATGGGATGATAGGAAGCGGATACGTATCAGGAAGTGAGCCTGAGTTACATGGGGATCCACTGCGTCACTGATAAGCTTTTCTTTCAGCACCATGTTTTCCCAGCACCGTGTCTAGAAAACACCGTATCGTGAAATCATAAACTTATGGAATTGAAAGGGACTTCAGTCAAACAGGTGTGATCGGCTGTGCTTCAGGCCATGTTTAGTATGTGTTTCCTAACCAATTCTTAAAACCTTGCAATGATGGAGACTCTAACTTCTCTGTTAGAAAAGCTTTGTTAATGCCTAACTTCAGTCTTTCTTTCTGCAGTTTAAAGCTCTTAGTTCTCATCTTACTCAACATGGACACAGAGAGCAGATTGTTCCCTTTTACTTTGTAGTAGCCTCCTTGTATGTGATAACTGTTATCAGGTCTCCCTCAATCTTCTTTTGCTATGATGTGAATGAAAACAGTGATTAGAGCTGAGGCCCTCCAGAGAATCCTTCCTTCTCCACTGCGTGCTAGTTCTGGTTTAGATCTGAGCCTTTCAGGAAACTAAGACAGGAAAGAGATAATTGCTGCATTTTCCAGGTGATAGGGGAGAGCAACCACTTTCCTTGACCATCAGGATTTTTTTTGTTTGTTTCTTTCATTCTTTAGAACTTTAACATTCCAGTGACAGTTGTTTCCAGGAACCTTTACCCTTTTCCTAGGCACAAAAAATTATGTGCCTAGAGTGTTTTGGCCAGCTTTCTTTTGCTTTGGGTTTCCCCAGTGATTTTTGCAAAGATGCCTTACAGACACTTTAGCTCAGGGGAGTTTTAGCTGGGCCAGCTTTAGAAGTTGCCCCAAAGTTCCCTGCTCTCTCTACACTATGTAGCTCATCCTGCTTTCTCCTTCTCGTATTAGAATTCTTTTTCTTTTCTTGATGACATTTTTCCATCTTCTGTATCCTTGTGCCTTCAGGCTATACTCATGCTCTTTCTCATCTTCCCTACTTCCTCAGCTGGCCAAGAGCTCCAACAGTTGAGCTGTGGTTTCTTACTTCCTATCAAAAATTGAATTGTTTTGATAGATTGTCTGAAAATGCACAGTTGGCCCTGTAAACGAGCTTGATTTCAGTTCCTTCCTGGCCCTTGTCCTTCTCTCCCCCTCTGCTCATCCTTGTCTGTTTTCTCTCCTGCTCTACTCCCTTGCTGCTATTTTTTTCTTCTCCCACCAGCCAACTCTCTAGCTCTGAAGAGAACAAGCTGTTCCCATAATACTTAATTTAATTGAACACACTGTGGGAACATGCTGTTCTCAGGGTATTTTTTCAGATGAGGCTCTGGAGAAAGGGGATTCCCAACAATGAGGGGAGGCAGAGATACGGCAACAGTCGTTGCCAGGTAGTTGGCAGCGACAGGCATTCCAAGGAGAGGGTAGGGGAGGTAGGTGATTCAAAGCCTCCAGCATATGCAGATGTACTCTGTCTGCTTTACAGTATTCTGCAGGTGGGCGAATGGGTAAGAGGCAGCTTTTACTGTTCATGAACAGCAAAGTGCTCACCGCTGTGGCTCTTCTGTGCCACAACTGCAGGACAGAAAAGCAGGGAAGGGAAACTGGTTCATACTGTTTACATTCTAACCATGGAGATAAATACTTCCATTCTACGGTGAAAATAGCAACCACTATTGCTTGAGAAAATATTTATACTTCTGTCAGTTGCATTTCAGGATAGGGAGTAGCTTAGGTTTGTGAAAATATATGTGAACGTATGCACATTATGTGGTTGTGTGAAATGCAGAGCAAAGGAGAGAGAGCACGTGTGTGCTGACGCATGTAAGAGAGAATTAAAAATATATTGCTATCTCTGCGCAAGATTTAACATCTAAATATGAAGAGAGATTCTTTGTAGTATGCAGGTGTGTTAGCGTGGGCAGGTATATTTTAGTCATGGCCAAAGGACCGTAAGGCTGTGATTCAGAGGGAAATCCCACTGTTGACCTTAAGGGAAGTGGTGTTCCACAGACTTCCCTTGGGGAATGCTGGTGGTAAGTAAATCGTGTTGTTGCAGCTGGCCTGACTAATCCCTTTAACCTAGTAAATACAGCAGCTACATGTGTTTATTGCTAGCCTTTCGTGTCACTGTAGAAGAAACCCTCAAATCCTTAGAAGACACCCTCAAATCCTTAGCCCTACTCGGGAAGTTTATTTTTTCCTATAGGACAAGATTCAAGGACACCTCTGGCAAAGGCTGGAACTGGAGCCAGGAGATGTATATAGCTTTTCATGAACTGTCCAAGGAGTTCTAGAAGGAAATATTTCTATGCGAAGTGAGCCCTTGTCTGTACCATGAAAGCTGGAGCTACATGGAGAGGCAAAGTCCTCTATTTTGTGACCCTCCTAGGGGAAATGAAAGCACTTGGTGATGGCTGTAAAAAGGCCACTGCCGTAGCAATCCATGAAACTGCCTATTCAATTAGTTTTGTGTTCACCCTTAATTGCATTTGTTTCCCTGTTTTTAAATATTTGTTGAGCTCTCCTGTTGGGATTGCCTTTGTGCTGTTTGATTTGGAAGAGAGGCCCCTTGGGATCACAGTGTTAGTGTACGAGCAAGAGTCGGATAAAGCAAGGGCCTAGATGAACAGTTCAAGTTTCCTTATCTGTCTCACAGGGAATGTCTCCTTTTGTGAGAACAGAGAGCACAAGTGATCTCTCCAGCCTGTGTTTTAATTCAGGTCTGTAAACTGGTCACCCTGCCATGTATAAGTAAAGCGTCTAAAAGTGTTCTGCCTTAGTCAAATGAGGTGCTTGTGCTGAATTGGCACATCTGCCAAAACAGGAATTAGAGGAGGTGAGAGCAGTGAAACTATTAACCACCGTTTTTCAGGTCAAAACAGCTCTTTAAATCAGTTTTTTAAATCCCTGGGGAAAAGGTTCATTTAAGCCAGAACTTTACAACTCTCAAGAAAGTCAGTTGTGGGTGCTCAGTATCTCCTCAGGTAAGGTTCTTAAAACATTGTTAACTCTGATAGCAGATTAGCTAGAAAGTAGTAAACCCTGTGGATTTTTTTCCTAAAGCAAAAGAGACGGCATGTGTATGTGCGTGTGTGTGTGTCAGCCTGTGGACCTTAAAGGCTCAGAACCACAGACATGGATGCCATGGGATTAAGTGGCAGGGCCACACATTTATTTAATACACATAAGAAATCACTGTGGTCAGCATACTTTATGTCCTCTCTCTGTGAGCCCTTCTCACATGTTAGGAGGATACCAAAATCCTTTGGGCCACTTACAGACTGTGTTGGTCCAAGAGTGAGGAGATCTCACCCAAAGAGTTTCCCAAGACATGAGGCCACCAGTCAGCTGCCTGCCATGGGCTGGCTCTTGGCCAGCACTGAAGGCTTAGCAGCTTGGCTCCCCGGTGTCTAGCTCCGAGGGGCAGATGTTGGCCGTTCAGCTTCACTAAACCCTGCAGCTGGTCACCTTATGTTGTAACCAGATACATGTGCACTTGTCCCACATAGCTTCTGGTTTTGTTGGTGTTGTAAACAAAGTGAAAGACCTGGTAGGCATTGACCACTCTGGCCTCCCTCTGAAGTCACAGCCCGTCCCGTCAGAGACTTACTGCTCTTGGCTATGACATCCCGCGTGGATGGAGGAGGGTGGGTCGCCACTGATTTGTTCCAGCTTTGGGAACCAAACGAAATAATTTCTAAGAGATAAACATAAGTGGCAATAAATTGGTGCTTCAGCCTCCTCCTGTCACTTTACCAGGGCCTGGCAAGTCCCTGCTTGCACAGCACATGTGGGTGTTTTGACAAATAGACTTTAATCATCAGGGCAACTGGTACTATGTATGCTGTGGTGCCTGATGCTAATGCTCTGGGATGACTTCATTCCATGTCCTGAGGCCATGTTTAATCTCCGCTTTATACTTGTCTGGGTGAGCTGCCTTGATCCTGTAGTGGCGACACAATTCACATTCATTCAGTTTGCACCTTATTGACTGACAGAGAGCAGATCTGGGCGCTCTCCCCTTCTCTCCATTTTGTTGGCACAAATGGCAATGCAGTTGCAAACAAGCAGGACCAAGGAACTCATCTGGCTGAAAATTAACCCCATTAAGAAACCGAAGAGTTATTTCTCTGCTGTGTTGGTTTCCTGCTCTGACGTGCCTATTCTGCCTGTGCTTATGCCAGCACAGGGAAGAGGTAGGTGTGAGTAAGCAGGAGTGTGCGATGGCCTCCTGGCAGCAGCTGAGACCAGTGATCGGCTTCAGTATTTACATAATTATGGCCCAAGTTGCTCTGCATCCTTGGGAAAGTCACTCTGCTACTGTGTACCCCCAGCTTCTCATCCGTAAGATGAATATTATAGCATTCCCACGTTTTTTCAAGGCGTTTTAAGATCCTTAGTTAAAAGGCTTTATGTTACTCCAAAGTTCTCATTGAGGTTGGTCAGAGCATATGCTATTGGCTTGGACTGGGAAGACCTTTAGCAACACAGATGTGTTTTGTTTTAAGTGTCAGGCATGAAGGATTGTTAATGTTCTGCTTTATCTCCATGTTATCCATGTTTATTTTTTTACTTTCCTAGTGTGAGTCATAACTTGTTTAATGCCATATCTTAAGGATGAATCTTTGGGATCAAACAAAAGTACTTTTGGGATGAGTCAAGATCAGGGTGTACAGAGGGGAGGGAGAGAACTCTCAGTTACTGATGCTATCTCCATAGGTTTCATTTTTCTTCCTGCCACAAAACTCTGTCTTTGAGTGCCACACTCATTTCTGTGAAAAGGAGGATAGAATAAGGAGCTGCCTGAAACCCAGGTAGTGTGACTGACAGTTCTGCCTTTCTGCGTTTTGCCTACACATATCCATACAACACTGAAGAAAAAGTAACTAAAGTCTCAAACTTTGATCTCTTTTGCACCAGTACCATGCTGTGTAAACTCCAGTCAAATTAACAGAGCTATACCAGGGCAAAAGAGGTGTGAAATCAGAATTAGGTACGATTGTATTCTACTCTGCTTGATTAATAATTGACCATTACAAATGCTTTCTTTTAAATGCTGTTAGTTTAATTAGGTCTCTCTCCCAGTTGCTTTGCCTAAGATTTTAAGTTTACTCTAACAAGAAAAGCTGTTTTGCTCGAATGGCCTGATGCTGGAGCTGTAACATCTGTTGAACTATTAAAGGAAAGAATCCACACTGGAGAGGAAGAGAAGTCACTGAAACTTTAAGCAGTTTGGAATTATAAATGCTGAGTATTGTTGAGTCTGCTTCTGCCCTTGTTTTTACATGAGCAACTTCCATTCCTGGTGTCAGGTGCACCCTTGCGTGCTGTTTTACACTGCGTTATATGCCATATATTTCAGACTGCTGTGGGATGAGTATTGCCCTTTCGGGACCTACTCATGCACAAGTTATGTACTTCAGAAAATTAGCCCTTGGAGAAAAAGGTAATTAAATGAATGCAGCCAATGTTCTAGGATTTAAGCTTTGGGGAGGATAAACAATGCTGGCCAAAGAAGCTCGTTCTGTTGCAGTCTGCCATACACTGAACTTGAGTGGGAGTTGTGCGTTTCTTTTGTTTTGTGTTGCCATTTGGAAGATATCATTTTTCTGGGGACAGTATTACTAATAAAATAATGCATCCTGTCAGTCATTCCCTCTTTTTCCCTTTAAACAGGGTCACCCTGGGCAATCTGGACCTAGAGGTCTGCCTGGCCTCGATGGCTGCAATGGTACCACTGGGAGTCCTGGCGTTTCTGGATCAGATGGATTTCCTGGCCCACCTGGGCTGCCTGTACGTCCCAACTCTAATATGGTGTTTTGTAGTCACTAAGCCAGAATTTGCTTTTCATGCCATTGTTGGAAAAGTAACTCCCAAGTACTTAGGAAGAACCCTAATAACCCTACGTTTATTAGCACTGTTAGAGCTCAGTATCCTTTTCTTATTGAAATTCCACGCTGAGGAGAAAATGAAGATCCAGTGAATTCAGTATGCTCCCACACCAAGTTATACCATTGTCGCTGGCAGTATTCAGGCTAACTCAGAAGAAACCATGATAAAGTTTTTAAGAACCATGAAGTGTCAAGCATCTTCCACCTGGAACGTTTCAAGTTAGTGGATGCTGATTCAGGAAAGGATGTTACCATATGTTCAGCTCTATGCATCAAATATTGGATGCCTTCCGTCGGGTCTTAAGATAGCCAAAAGCTTCAGTCTTACTGAATGTCAATAGGATTTACTTTCCAGGGTATGTGTTTTACTTTTGAATACACTTTTCTACCAGGTTGGAGTTTTATCTAGCCTGTATTGGACACCTTAAAGTTAGGTGTCATATCTATTCATCTGGACCTCCGTCTTACAGAAAGTGGTACTTGCGAGAGCACTTCTCCCCCTCTACCTTTCAGGATAAAAGTATGTGGTTATTTTTGAAGCGTAAGCAAAGAATATGACTTGATATTAAAATATTTGACAAATATTTGAATATTTGTTCACATTCAAAGCCTGATCTTACAAACACAGGTCATGTGACTAATCGTACATGTAATGGAACTCCTTTGCACGTATACATGAAGGAGAAGAAGAAAATACAGCTGGCGGATGTAAATAATGCCATTTGTTTCAGCATTTCTAAACTGTGCTAAGACATCTTTACGTGTCATCCAGACTTGAAATTCATATGATGTTGAAAAATACTGAAGCAATAAGATCAAATTAAAGTACTGCTTTCTAAAGTAACTGATTTACTCATACCTGCTGCTCAAATTTCTATTTTGTTATGTTTGTAGGATTACATTTTTGGCAAGGAAAGCTGCTTGGATCAGCCAAACCCTCTCAAATTAAGTTGGCAATTAAATGAAATCACCTGAGATAAATTGGATGGGATGATCAAGATTAAAATAAATAGAGTAAATCTAGAATTATAATGGCAGCTTTTTCAGAAGATTCATGCAGTCTACCAGCTTTGATTCTAAACAAAATTTGGTAATTTACAGTGTTAAACAAGAGACAGAATCATAGAATGGTTTGGGTTGGAAGGGACCTTAAAGATCATCTGGTTCCAGCCCCCCTGCCATGGGCAGGGACACCTTCCACCAGACCAGGTTGCTCAAAGCCCCATCCAGCCTGGCCTTGAACACTTCCAGGGATGGGGCATCCACAGCTTCTCTGGGCAACCTCTTCCAGTGCCTCACCACCCTCACAGTAAAGAATTTCTTCCTAATATCTAATCTAAATCTACCCTCTTTCAGTTTAAAACCCTCGTCCTATCACTACACTCTTTGATAAAGAGTTCCTCCCAGTCTTAGCTGTAGGCCCCCTTTGAGTACCAGAAGGTCACTATAAGGTCTCCCCAGAGCCTTCTCTTCTCCAGACTAAACAACCCCAGCTCTCTCAGCCTGTCCTCATAGGGGAGGTGCTCCAGCCCCTCAGTCATCTTGGTGGCCCTCCTCTGGACTCGCTCCAACAGGCCCATGTCTTTCCTGTGCTGAGGACTCAAGAGCTGGGCGCAGTGCTCCAGGTGGGGTCTCACGAGAGTGGAATAGAGGGGCAGAATCACCTCCCTCAACCTGCTGGTCACGCTTCTTTTGATGCAGCCCAAGATACAGTTGGCTTTCTCGGCTGTGAGCTCACACTGATGGCTCATATTCAGTTTTCCATCCACCAGTATCCCCAAGTCCTTCTCCAAAGGGCTGCTCTCAATCCACTCATCACCCAGCCTCAATCCATGTTTGGCATTGCCCCAACCCATTTGTAGGACTTTGCACTTGGCCTTGTTGAACTTCATGAGGTTTGTGTGGGCCCACCTCTCAAGCCTGTCAAGGTCCCTCTGGAGGGCATTGATATGTATATGAACAGGAGGGTTACACCATGTCAAACAGATTCAAATAGGATCTTAAAAGTTGTCAAAGGCCTAAAATAAAAGGGAAATCTAATATAAACAGGAAAAAATGGAGAAAATGTTTGCAAAACCTTGTTTTTCTAAAGCCGCAGGAAGTCTTAAGTTCTGATAATACCACAGCTGCTTTGTCAAAGCTGCAGTGGTACTTTTGCAGTTTACTGGAGCCAGGAGTTTGCCTTGTTCATTATGATAAATATAAATTCTTTCAAAACTAAATCAGTATTTTCTTCAGAAATTTATTTTTGACTTTTTTTTTTTTTTTTCCTTAATCAGGGTCATCCTGGCCCAAAAGGCCTTAAAGGAGAACCTGTTTTTGTTCAAGGCAGTCTTAAAGGAATGAAGGTAAGACTTGCCATCACATAGGAGAAAATGCAGTACAAGAAACACTTTGATGAACTACAGGTTGCAGGGCTGATGCTGCAGGTTAGATTGCTCATGATGTTAGACACAGGTATCCTGAGTATGCCCGAATGCAGAGCTGTGAAAAAGGCCTTGTAATAACTTCAGTAATGACAACGCAGAATACTCGCAGAATTTGGAATTGCTTGGTCTTTGCGGAGATCTTGTTCATCCCACGCTGGGATGCTGGGACATTGCTCATTCCGTTACTGTTCAGTGTAGTTGCTGGTCCTTCACTTGTCTCTGGAGAGCTAGCACCATTTGTTTGTGGTGTCAAACCATGGATGTGAGGAATTTCTTGTAAGCTTACCCTGACTTAATATGAGGTAGCACGTGTGTTTCTAGGTGCACATGTAGCAAAAGAGTGGCCCTTCACCTGCATTCAGAACTTTCCTGTAACTGCACCTTTGCATGTGCCAGCTCTGTTGAAATAACAGCTCAGGAGACTCACAAGTGCACATTAAGATTTCCACTGTGAGATCCCAGCTGCCTCCCGGTGTTTTTTGTACTAGGGGGTACGAGTAAGTAATCAGTCATACTCTCAGTTTAAATACATGAATATCATATTCTACTCATAGTATTCCATCCTTTGCTGCTGTGAAGTCAGGATTTTACTCTCTCTAATAAGGACCTCACCCTGAAACATCTGTATCAAGTCTGTAATTTTATTTCCTGTACAGAAAATACAAACTATGGATAGACAACTTCAGTTTATTGTTCAGAGCAGTGAAAAGATTCTTGAATAGGCTCATGTAAAAGATTTGGTTCTTTGTTGCCTTGAAACAAACACTCACCAGCTTACCATGGTTTTGATTTTTGCCAGAAGTACTAGGTTTGGAATAAATCTACAAAGGATTCAGTACCTCTTGTGGTACTGAATTCGGCAATATTTAGCAGCCTCATGCTTCATTAAATGTTGAAAATATTAAGAATTTTATTCTGTCATGTAAGGCCCCCTCACACTGACTTTGTTGGTTAAAATTAACTTTTCTAAAATTCTACCTGCATTATATATGTTCATAAGTTGGTGAAAGTTAAGTAGATCTTTATTTACTCTAGTATTTATGGGAAATACAGATAATTTGATATAATAATGATATGCTTTTACATATTTTATAGTAGTTTTGTAATGAAAGTTTTTATAGTGTCTTTTCCAGTATTTTTACAATTACTACAAATTCTTTTTCGTGCCACTTTAGTTTCTCTTGTTACCCGTAAATAAAATGGTTGTAATTTCTCCGGAGCTTTGGAATCTCTCCATTACCCAATTTAAATATGGAAGCACAGGTGTCAAAGTATTTTCCCATTTACACTTGATCTAATATTAACTAACAGCAAATATTTCTATTTATACAAAACTTAATGTTCCTTATAGTTTGTTGCAAAAGCATAGTGTAATTTTTACTCATGCATTTAAAATTTTTAGGGAGAAAATGGTCTTCCTGGATTGGATGGAATTTCTGTAAGTTATTTAATTTTGGGAATGATGATTTTAAAGAATATTGAGTAGGTAATTTTTCTTGTACTGGTTCTCAAGGACTTTTCAAATTAGCGGGCCATGTATTTATATGTGTGATACCAGTAGCCTGAGCTATTCCAGCTTTGTAATGGGATTAGCGCATTATGGTAGAGGAAGTCAGATTTTTGCTATGATCTGTTCCATTTTTCCTTTTTCAAATCAAACTCCCTTCTACCATTCAACTCTGTAGCTTTAATTTTCAAAATACATCTAATAATGTGAAATGGATTGTTGTACTATTTAAATTGGCATACTTAATTAGGGCATATTACTTAATGTTTCCTGAGACTCACTTTGTCTTTGGTTGGGGTTTGATGAGTGCTACACATTCTGTATTTGTCCTATGTTGTTCTTATAGGGCCCAAAAGGTTTTCCAGGTCCAATAGGTTCTGCAGGCCCTATAGGATTGCCAGGTTTGCAGGTAAGAGACCTCAACTGTTGCACTTGTTGATAGAGCCATTCAAAATGTTGGCAGTTTTCCCTCCTTGTCTGTATTTGTGTCATGACAATGAGCAAAAGTGTGTGTGCATCTGAAAGGACTGATGAGCACAGCTGACTTCAAGCATAGAATACTTGAACTTAGATAGTTTAATCTAATCACAAGAGGGAATGCTCCTCTCTGGAGCAGCGTTCAGAGCAGCAATCATGAATGAGGGCTCCAGCAAAGTCCTAGAGTGCTGTCTACAAACACTATGTTATACTATTCTGAGCACTTCCTCGTCTTGGGACTCGAGGGAATATGCTGAGCTCTGCATGTTTGGAGCCTTTGTCGTCAAGAAATATGCTAAAGAGTTGCTTTTTCAAGATACTACAAGAGAGTTTCTATTGGGTGGAGGTAAAAACAAACTATGTGTTTGTTGCTTTTAAATTGAAATTTGCTCTTAATTAACCACAGTACGAAAGGGCTATGCTGTCTGTTATAGATGTGAAGACTTGAAGATCATGTGTGTCAGTTACTTTTGCTTTGGGGCAAGAGGTGAAAGTTCAGGTACCACTGCAGATCCCAGCATTGCTCCAATTGTGTGCATCCTAATAAAGTACAAAGAAATAAAATCTTGATCTTGTTCACATTTAGGGTCCAATGGGTCCCCCTGGGCCACCAGGTCCAAAAGTAAGTACCTACCTTTCCTGTCTTCTTTCTATACCTGATTGTTGGCTTTTTTAACAGTGTTGTGGGCCTAGATGATAGTGATGCTGTTGTTGGTGTTGTTTTATTATTAATTCTTTTTTTTTTTTTTTTTTTTTTTTTCTTCTCTCCTAGGGTAACATGGGATTAGGCTTTCAAGGAGAGAAAGGAGAAAAGGTAGGTGAAATTTGTTCTGTTATGGAAAGAGCATGAAATAATACCCTAGTGTTTCACCACAGCTTGATCTTCTAGAAGGTGGCTAGATTCTAGCATTTTCTTCTCTTCCTTTTTCTTTTCTTCTCTTGGAGCAATTGACAGTCCAAATACTAAAGAGTCTTGCTGGTTCCTTATCTGTTGGCAAAAAGGGTGGGAGCTTTTTCTGGAGGGGGAAGGGGAAAATCTCAATTCACTGCAGTATTTTCACAGTTACTGAGACACGAGGTCCTTAGACCTTAGACATGAGGTCTTTTGAATGTCTGTCTGTCAGTTTCTTTGGACCCTCACCTCTTGTATTGAATTATTCTACTGACTTCATTCTTTTTGGCTTTCGTAATATCCTTTGAGTCAACCGATGTGTAGTTTGTAGTCTCACTATCCTAAATGGGTGTCCTGCAGTCTGTGTGAGGATTTACACTGGCTTAATGGGGCTTCTCAAAGTTCTCAGTTTGGGGCTTGATTCTGCTGCTGTTAAAATTGGTTCTCAGCATTCTACATTTCTAATTGTTTCTTGTCGTCTTTTCTTTCGTATTTCTCCCCAAAGTTTTTCTGAAATGTTTTCCTGTTGATTCAAAAACGGAGCTTTTTTTTTTCTTCCCATGTTTTATATCCACAAATCTTCTGAAACAGATTTAATGCATTTCGTTCATCTTAATTTTCAGTCTGATCTTTTGACTTCCATGACCAAACTCCTGTGCCAGCATTAAGGCACACAGATGTTATGTACGTGGGATATAATTAGAGTGGCTTTTTTCTGATTCGCAAGCAACTTTCATAGGAAATCAAGCATGTTCTGCCTATGTCAACAGCTTCCTCTTTGCCAACAGGGCGATGTAGGGCTGCCTGGCCCTCCAGGTCCCCCACCATCCACTGGAATACTGGAATTCATGGGATTTCCAAAAGGGAAACAAGGAGAAAAGGTTTGTGAATTCAGTTTACAAGCCCTCCCCCTCCCCATGCTCATTCATTCAAGGCTGAATGAAATCACTGGACACTGAGGGCTGTTATATTTCCAAATCAGAATAATTTTCTGTACCAGTTTAATCTGCCAGATGGCTATTGAATAAAAATATTCTTAGCTCAGAGCATTGTGGACCACTGGAGAATGCATACCTCTCAGAAGGAGAAATCTGAAAGCTATTTAAAGGTTTTCATCATTAATCCTAAAAATAAATGAACTGTCTTTGTTTCTGTTGGACCTCTGAAATTGTATCAACTGAAGCAAAAAAACCCAAATCCATTTAGAAAAATAATAAAACGCTCCAGCTCTTTTGCTGTGGCTATGATGCACACTACTCTGAAATAATCAGATTTCTTTGTTATCCTGGCATTTACTGAGATACATATTTAGCTCATCAGCATTTTTATTAAAGCTGTATGCATCTTGAGTTAAAGATTCTCTACACACATGAAATTTAGGCATGCTGAATTAATCTGGGACCTCTACAGCCTGGTTTGGGAGCCCAGTCTGAGCTTCCCTAAGCCCCTGCGTAAGACATGAGAGATATTGTCTTACCTGGTGGAGTTGCATTAGCGTAAGGTGAGATTCAAACAAATGCCATTCCTTTTGGCTCACTCTTGAATTTGTAAGCAGGATTGTGAAGACATTATGCTATCTCATCATGTGTTACTTCGCTGTTTTCCATGAAGTACTGTGCATATTCCAGTTCCCTAGAGGATGATATGAAATGCTTCTAGTTTGACTTCTGGCAGTGGAGAAGAGTAGAACAACAGTTCCCAAGTAGTGGTCTTTGAAGCCATGGGAAGTGGTCACAGACAATCTGTTGAATGCACCGGCACTGCTGAGAGACACTATACCTGGCACATGATGACACGAATCAAGTGTACTTGCTGACAAACAAATTACAAGGCCTTACCTTAGGAGCCAGGAGCATGATGGGTGGATTGGGGAAAGGCTTGCTTTCATGGGCATAGTGATTTATTGTGTTCACCTCTTCCCCTTGTCAGGGTGAGCCAGGCCCTCAAGGATTCCCTGGAGACAAAGGATTGCCTGGCATGCCGGTAAGGACAGAGGAGAGTTTTTAATATGTGCCTAATATGGGTTAGATGGCTCAACACCCTCTGAATAGCTCACAAGTTCTCTATAGGAGTTTCTAGGCACCAGAGTACTTTGAAAATCTGATTAAAATGTCCACAAGACTTTTTGAAGACCGTAACTGTAATCTGATATTTTTTTGTCCTGGAGATACAAAGAAGATAATGCTGTCCTACTACAGATGTTACAGAGCAGCCATCATTTCAGTACGCCTAACCTGCAGTCTGCAGACCTGCAAGTAGACATAGCCCTTCCATGGCCACTTGATGGCAGTGTTTCTTGATGTCCCACAGAGAGCTAGACTTATTTTTTAAAAAAATCCTGGGTTTTTTCCCTTTAATTATGTCTAAACATATTTTTGTTATTTTACTTTAAAGTTGTAAAGCACATGCAGATCTTTCTGCCTGTCTATATATATCCAGTTTTAAAATGGGCCGTTTAACACTAGTGCTCATAAACTCAGGAATGTGTAGCAGCATCTCTGTATGAATCAAGAACAACAATTTATCCCTGGATTCTGGAGAGCTATTTCCCAGCTTATAACCTTTTGTAAACACAGGTTATTTCAATAAGCTTAAGGAATAAATATTTTGTGGAATTTCTAACTAATAAGATAAATTGTTTGCCAGTTACTTCAACGTACAGATGTTCTTAGTAGAAAGACGTGCAAGAAAAACCTGTACATGACGCACAGTTTGTTATTAGCCTTTCTGGACATGTTCCATTATGTGCATGTTTAGCTTTATGCATCACAAGAGGCCCATTGAAGCTGGCGGGGTTGAACATATGTGTGAACTTAACCACAACCATAAGATATTTCAAGATTGAAGCCTGAAAATTGCTTAACTACTGTAACTTTTGCTGAAATTAAATCCTGGTGTTCTGTCTCTGGATTTGATACTTCTTGCTGACTGGGAAAACCACGAAACATTTCCAAATGTTGAGCGTGAAAATGCTAGTTTTGTGTCATTCTTAGGCTTTAGAAATGACTAGGGGTACTCTGAGCACTCCCTTGAGCTACTGCTGCTGTTAAGAAATGAGATTTGAAATAATTTCTAAATGTAGAATACAATACAGAGTAGCAGTGGCAGAACTTTGCTGTTTATAGCATGGGGTTACTTGCATTTGCTACTGAGAGATGTGCCATGGTTTAAATGGATGGAAGTCATTGGGAATGAAAAAGATGATGTGCTGCACATAACTGCCAAGTCTGGTAGATACAGGTTTTCCTTCTGGGGCAAAAGAGTCCCAGCAGAAACAGTCAGTTCCCCTTGTCTCTCTGTTGTACTGTTTATGTTAATAGATGAGGTTTGTGCTCATTTTGTTTTAGGGCTGTGCTATTCAATTCCAAAGAGATCACAGATTTAATGTTGGCATTTTTTCCTCAGGGCTTCGGAGGTGTTGGAGAAAAAGGAGAAAAAGGTGTGCCTGGCTTACCAGGTGGCAGGGTAGGTAACGTTACATGCCTGTTCTCAAACACATGAAGTGGGCCATTCATCAACAGAAGCATTCCCAAAGCATGTAGAAGTCTCAGACATAGGACTGGGTCGCATAGTAGCCAGTGCCATACAACAACAGAACCAACAGATAGTTCTTATCTCAGTAAAGTCTCAGATTAAAGGTGAGATGAAAGATGTATATAGACAAAGCAGTCCAAGAAAATCATATGGAAGTATTTAGTGGAGGTCTTGATACTGCAGGGCCTGTGTTTTTTCAGTTTTTTTGAAAGCTTCACAGAAAAGGAAGCTTACAGGAGGTCCAGATGAAGATAATAAAGACGCCTTGCAGGGGCTTTAGGGAGCTCTCAACCAGTGCTAGAACCAGCCACGAGAGAACACAGATAGATATTTGGGGAAGAAATGGGCAAGCTGGCAATAGATGTTGGTCTAACTAGTCAATGAATGTGGGAGTTAACGACATGCTCAATCACACGTGAGCCACAGATTCTTCAAACCACCATGACCCTGCAGAGACATGCTTATACACAACAAGAAGGCAAAGAAATTCTGGTCTGCATGTGCAGAATAAATTGTCAAGATAGAAAGTCTTGACTGCATTAAGTTTCATGGCTTTATAATTACAAACTACCTACCTAACTTCCTAGTAATTTGAGACACCATGACTTATTTTTGAACCACTGATTAAAAAGACAATGGCTAAAGAAGATAAGACTTCTTTTACCAGTTATTCTGCTGAACTCTTTCAGTTATGATCATTAATATTTGGGAGATATGGAAAATCAGTGGTAGCTTCTCCTTTTGAAAGTTTTATCTTTTGGTTCTTTGGTGCTAAGATATTTGGAGCTTGATATAATAAGACCAGACTGAGATGGAGCCTCTGGAAGTTAATGGTTTTTTGCTGTTCTAGGGTCTTTTGGGACTGGATGGATCTGACGGGATTCCAGGAAGAAAGGTGAAATTTCTTTTATTTTTTACTGTACTTACAATTACAGAAGCCATCTAACTGGTTGAGATCTACTGACTTCCTTATCTAGTGGCTCCAAGTTCTCTGATGGTTGAATGCATCTGCCTTATTAAACTAGTGAGAGCTAACTAGAAAGTCCACTTAAAACTCTAGATCCATTTAACTGTCTCTCTAGTTAGCCGTACATATTCAGAGGACCATCTCCACAGACTGGAAATTGTACATTCCCTCCTGAACAATCAACTCTCCCACTTTTCCCCTTTTGGGCGTGGAAATGGCCAGGTGGTCAAGTGGCTGAAAGCATGTTAAAGCACTTCCACTTGCAGATACAGTAGTAGAAGTTGTTCAAGAAAGCAGCTTTCAGAAATACCATTTTCATTTTGCAGCCTGGAATTCAGCCACTTTCCTGTATATTTTGTTTTATGTATGTCCTTTTAAAGATATACTGAAGGTGATGGTATCTCCAATATAATCTAATTCATATCTATATGTTAAAATTATATGGTTAAAAACAAGCCCTTTATGACAAGTTTCTCAACAATACTGTGTTTGGGCTTTGTTGGGGCCTACAGCTGTCCAAGACTTCAGAATCATGGGCAAGGTTTAAAGTTGAGGCTCCCTGCTCCAGAGCTCTTGGAATATCCCATTTTGTCTGCAGTGGCAGTGGGATTTGCAATCCATACTGGCCCAGGTTGAATATGTTACCCAATAGAGAACAGTAGGTCACTTCTGTGTAGATTTCCAGTCACACACCCAGAAGAGGAATTTCGGTGTCCCTGAGAATACTGCTGGGAAATGGGTAGCTGGAGAGCTGGATCTCCCAGTGTCACTTTAAATGTTTTGGTGCCAGTAATTTGTTGGAGGGGGAACAAAATGGAGGGGCAGGTGTGGGGGACAAGGAAAATAATGTTCTAGACTCCTCGCTCCACAAGCATTTCTACAGTTCTGTGAGAACTCCAAGGTGTCCTCCTGATTTGGGTGCCCTCATGCCTGCTCACAAGTTCTCACCATCTTTGCAGCACACAGAGGCCTGAAGGAGCTCTGGTATTTTGTGATCGCTGAGAAATTGATGCCATCAGTTTTCTTTTACTTTATTTCTTCTGCAAATGTTTGGTAGGACAAGGAATTGGGTTTGTGATTCAACTCCAGGCACTGCAGATGTCTCAGATAACAAATAATGCCACTGTCTTGTTGTCTCACTGTATAACAATGCTCCCTTGTGTGACTTTTCAGGGTCATCCAGGTGTTCCAGGCTATCCAGGACTGGATGGAGTCGAAGGCATGAAGGTAACTTCTCACATGAAAATACTAAAGCATTGCTTCTTTAAAGATATTTGCATGAATAAATAAGTGTCATTGCCTCTATCAAATCTCCTCTTTACCTCTGTATCACTAGTTCTCAGTAAGTTTCAGTTCCTCATTTACATTGTTGTTAAGGATAAAAATGAATGGTTGCTGAACTATGAACACTCGGATACTTTAACACCTTTACAATGTTCATTCATGTAACTTCATGACTTAAAATTGTAGGTGTAGTCTCTCTGGCCTCCTTTATCCTTACACCAATGCCATATTTACTGGACAATTGAGGCAAGATTAGATGGAAGTAAGTGGACGTTAAGATAGTTGCCAAGGCTATCTGAAGTCTTAGATCACAGATCTACAAGTATTGACAAGCCTGAAAAGCATGTGTTCAATTTCTTGTACTGGAGATGGGCAATGCATAGCAGACATTTTCTGGGTAGCTCACAACTTGGGCAGTCAGACATCTGGAAACTGAGTGGAAAATGGTTGGATAGTAGTTTGCTGTGAAAAACACTTATCTGCCACCAAGACTGGTATATGGTTGGCAGACATGTGAAATGCAAGTACTGAAGCTCTTTTTTGTGCAGGGCACATAGAAGAAGTAGTAGTACAGAGGACTATTACTGGAAGAAGCAACAAAGTGTGCACTGCCTTGGCTCACTGCGTGGTGTTTATATTATAAATACGATGGCAATTTGGACAACAGTCAGATTTTGCACTTGCTGTTTCAAAGAGGATTTGATACTGTGTTAGAGAAAGGAATGATACTGCAGTTGGTCACAACTTGCTTGTTCTACCTGGGTGATTTTATGGAGGAATCCATTCTCCTGGAAGCTCCTATTATTGAAATTCAGGATTCCAAGGCAGCGCATAGCTGCAGTAATGAATGCTTCTAAAGCTGGGTATGTTCATAGCAGCTCTCTCGCTACAAGGTGGACAAATGTGATCTACCTGATATTGGTCAATATGCTGATATGATAACTGGTCTGCAGTACGCATGGTATATACATGTCCGTGCTTCCTATTGAGGTAACGGGATGCTTTCAGAGGATAGCTGGATCGTAGCAAACACTTTATCTGAAGCAGCCATCGGTTTCATCAGAGAGGAAGTAAGTCAGTCAGGACAGCAGATGATTGTGAATAGCAGAAGGACAAAGTGAATTCTTCACCAAGACAAAGAATGCTGGTTAGTCAGTGAATGACCACAGACATTGCTACCATGACGCAGCCTGTCTCCTGACGAGCAGTCTTCCCCTCCATCACCCATCTGAATGTGGCGTGAATCTGTTTTCTTCTACAGGGTGAATTAGGTGACATCGGTCCCCCAGGCCCTCCTATCGTTATTGACAGGGAAGGTGTAGTCATTTCAGGTACACATTTCCATTTTGTTTTGGAACTCATCTAAAGCACTTTTTCTGATTGAACTTTCCTTCTTACTATATTTTACCACTTTTCCACACTGTGTATTGGGTCTAAGCCGTCCCTTGTTATTTTTCCTTTAATTTCTGTATTGTTGGCATACTGATACGGTTGGTCCCATGTTTATAACTTTAGAGTTTACAATAAACCTTTCGTCCCCACATTGCAGAATGATATGTTTCAAGGCAGAATGACATTTAGTGCCTGGGAGGCTGTGACTGTGTGTGAGCAAGGGGAAGTGCTGTGTGTCTACCTTTGCGTCTTCAGTGTACTAAGGAAAAATGGCTTCCTTGTGTTGCTTGGAAATGAGTACTCTGAATGTCATTCTGCTATTATTTGTCATTCAGTGTGGTAAGAATATTGTTGAGAAAATGAGCTTAATTAACACTACAGCTGAATGAGGCCTGGATGGGAATGGTCTCTGAAGCTATAAAAGTTAGGGGACAAATTGTATCATCTCTCCTATTCTTCTTCCTTCACATGCAGTCAAGTTTGAAACAACCTCTAACAGGTCACGAGGAATTTTTCCCATTATTGTTAACTTTGACTAGCAGGCTTACTGCTAACAGCTTTGCAGCCTTTGCTGTCAATGAGATCAGTGGCCACCGGGGTAGTTGACTGAACAGAGTCTTTCAGCAGAAATTCTCATGAGATTTTCCTCCTTGTTTTTCTGTTTGTCCAATAGGTGCCCCGGGTGACCCTGGAAACCCAGGAATACCTGGTCCTCCAGGAGATGAAGGGATCAGTGGTTTACCAGGCCTTCCAGGAGCTCCAGGGTTTCCAGGACTAGAGAGAGGTAAAGCAGCTGCTAACAGTTCCCTTAGCAGGCTGTTTTCTGTGTTTGTTGCTGAGAATACTCTGGGTAGTAGCCTGGAGATGGTGAAGGTATCGGAGCAAGCCTCTCCCTGCTCCTTCAGCTGGCTGATTTGCAGACTGCTGTATGAGACATAGGAGGCAGGGGTGACACACAGGGAAGCCAACTATGTTGACTTGGCTGGGAGCAGAATTAGTCCCACAATGATTACAGCCCAGGTAAGTCTTCAGGTGTGAATGTTTGGTGTAGCAGTGTACACAGGAGGTTGGTTGATTTCCATTTTGAATGAGTTGATTGGCAGAACCTTTCCTACATTTTAAATAATAGCAGATGTTTTTGAAAAAAAATTTTTTAATGACTTTTCATATTTGCAATAGAGAGCTAATAGGTTGGCTAGATAAACCTGCTGTAGGTGGAACCCATTTGTCCCATCAGAGATCTCACTTGAAAGTTTCTGTTTCACTTGACTGTCATCTGTGAAGTCCTGGCCCGCAATGATCCAGAGACTAGGATCTACTAAGGAAATTATCTCACTCAAAAGAAATCAGAAAATAAATAAACTGCAGTCTTACATAGTTATTTGTCTAACTGATCAGTGGGACTTAAATGCAGCCCTGTGAAATTTCTTGGATGACCAAACGAGCATGTAAATGGGAGCCAGTTGGTGCCTCTGATTTGTAAATTTTCCTTTGTCTGCAATTATAAATTGTTCTGTGCTGACATGGTTGCAGTTCAGGGCACAACAGTAATTTTCATAACATTAAAAGTACTAGAATGTATTTGCTGCTGGAGAGCTGCTCATTGTGTCATTGTTGTCTAGATGGAATGGGCCCTGGAGGGTCTCCAGGTGTTCCAGGTGTGAAGGGTGAAGTGGGAGAACCAGGAAGAGCAACGATTGGATTGCCAGGCACTCCCGGCAGGGATGGTTTACCGGGTCTGCCAGGAGCACCAGGATTGCCTGGTTCACCACGTATGTATATTTTTAACATCTATTGGATTCAGAGTGGAACAAGACAAATAATCATTTATATATTTATTTCTTTGCCAGTGAGGATTATTCATCTGTAAATCTTAAATGTTTGGTCGACACCTCATTGTGATTGTAACTCACAACCTTAAACATATATCAGCAGCCACCCCTCTAGAGTAAGAGAATACAGCTAATTATTGTTAGAGTGGTAGCCTGAGAGACTGAAGCACAAGGTTGTGTAGACACAATTTATGACACAGAGGACTTTGAAGTTCTAGGCTAGTCTCCTACTGGCTTAGATTAAAGAATAGACCATGACCTTATGAGCATCTGGGGTAAATGTCTGGTATTGTGAGTAGGTATTTTGGGTACTGGAAGTCAGATAGGATGCCTGAAGAGACAGTTTTCAGACCTAAGGAAATGTGATTTTGTTTTTACGTGTTAATTTGTATGGATGCCCTGATTGGATTAATTATGCATTGTTTTGTTTTCCTCAGAAATTGAGTATTACATGAAAAGGGTTGGTTTTACACAAACCTTGTGTTTTACCATTCTGCCATAAACTGAGTTCAAACAGCCTGTTTTATTTTTGAGAGGCAGCCTGTCAAAACAGGGCACACTCCAGTGACGGAGCCAATGAGCACAGTCTGATGAAATGATTTTCCGTGGAGAAGAAATAAGTGATCTCTTATCAATAACTGCTTGCTAGTCAAATCCAGCTCATTTTCTGCAGAGTCTGTAAAGCTCTGGTAGCTGTTTTTAGCTGATGGTTGCAGTTTGTTTCCATGGAACATCAGACGCGTGCTGGTCAGCACTCCATCTTACTGTTGTCACTGAGGGGGAAGGGTTTTCAGACACAGTAGTTATAGATTATGTTAGATCACTTTCCACTGCTGTTTCTGTCAGCTCATTCTATTCAGCATATAAAGAGATGTAGAAAATAATCCTGCAGTTATAAAGTGAGGGACAGGGAAAGTCCCCTTAACCTTTTTGCCATTTAGTCTCTTTCCTGAGCTGCAGCAACTTCATAAGAAGTCAAGGAGCTCTGCAGAAGGCAGGTAGCCCTGGGGATGACTCTACCATGCCAGCAGCAGCAGAGACCCTGCTCCGCTCATATAGGATAGCTTCTGGGCCAACAAAAAGGGCAATAGCCGGTCATCACAATCACCAATACATTGATCTGTCCCTTCAATTTCTATCCATATGAGTCTCAGCTTCTCCTAGAGCTGTAAAGGCCCATCTGCCATGAAGTCATTTGCCCTTCGTTATACAACCTGTTCACAGTTTGGTTAGTTCTTCGACCAACTGTTAAGTCTTTGAAAAAGTGCAATGGTAGAGCAGTAGAGGAATGAAACTGTGTTGCATCCACATTGTGAGAGCTTTTGCTTTTCTGTATGAGAAGCTAGAAGCAAACATATGGCAGAGGACTGCAGCCTGTGATACCAACCAAGTTCTGCCTCCTTGTGTAACTTCCACAGTTGCAGTTTGATTTGGTGCCATTTCTGTCAGTTGCATAACTGACATTGTAAGTAATTAATGAGCTGGAAGTCTAGCCTTCTCATGGCTTTTGCTTGCCTTCTTTCTGCATATAGGCCCGTCATTCGCCCCAGACACGATCCTGGATAGAAGGCCTGGGGCCCCAGGGGAGCCTGGACAAAGAGGGCTGCCAGGAGCTTTGGGTCCAAAGGGGTACAAAGGTAATTGACTCTTGTTTTGGGAGAGTGTTTTAGCAGTCATTGGGCCTCAGAAAGATATTTACATGTGGTTAATATCCTAAGGGATGAGGTGGAAGTGTCTTTATGACAAATCACAGGAGGTTGAGATGGATTAAAGGACCCAACAGCCTTTACAATTTAGAGAGAGTTGTGCCAGCACTGTCAGCAAAATCCTATTTCCTACTTCCTACTCTGCTCAGGCAAATAAGCAGATAAATATCTCATACCCAGAAAATTAGCTAAGTAAGTTATCCTTTAAAGCCATAAGACGCAATGAGACTTATAAATAAAATCTTGTTCACTGCTTTTTGCAATATGGGCTGGAAATGACAGAGAAACTTAATTTTATTCTCCTCTGTGCTAAAAATGATGAGAATTTGGGTCTTAGTGTGTGATAGAACCAGCAGCAAAAGCCACGATGACACAGACATCACTGTGCTATGTGATTGTTTGGATCCATGGCCAGTTATGATTCAGGGAAATATAAAGATATCCAGCTGTGGGTCACTGTAACCTACTGTGAGCGGGCGTATGGATTTGCTTTCTCTGACATATAACTATCTCTTTAAAAAAACACAAGACTTCTGTCCTAAAACTCTCCTAAAACCATCTGTTTAAGGGAGTCTAAACCTTTGGGAACAGGTCCAGAAGTGCTGAGGTTCATGCTGCACATGGTAATTTGGTGATGGGCATTGCATAGAAATTAACCTGGGCAAAACCTGAGCTCCGCTTGCTTGACACTCACGTCACCTGAGCAGAGCAGGCACAAAATCAAATCATATGAGAATGGCTTTGTCCTAATTGAATTAAAATACTGCTTTTGGAGCTCTTGCAACTGAAAAGGGTCTTTATCCAAATGAAACTGAGTTTGGAGTGTTAACTGTATTTTCCAGGAGAGGCAGGTGATTGTGCTTGTGATGGAGGAGTTACAAGAGCTGGTCTAAAAGGCACCTCAGGTCCACCAGGTCCATCGGGAAGCCCTGGTGTGCCTGGGATTAAGGGCATTGGTGGAGACCCAGGCACTGTGGGCGCGCCAGGACTGCGAGGCCCTCCGGTAAGGCAGGAAGAGTTTATATTGGTTGTCATGAATTAAAGGAGAAAAAATGCCCATGTGCAATTGCTGGTGGTGATTGTAGTGAAAGCAGAACACGTTTTTTTGAATAATTTCTTCTACTTGTTTGGATTTAAAAAAAAAAAAAGAAAAAGCTGAAAGTAGAGAAATTATCACATATAAAAAATGGGAGAAGAAATGGTTCTTAAGTTCTGAGAACTGCACATTTAGCAGTCAAGAGAAAACAGTAACAATTATTCATCCCAGGGCTTCTTGGCTGTAGGCATACATGGATTAGACCCAGGGTTCTTCCTAAGAGAGGGCTGGCTGGGGAAGCAGATACACATCTGCACGGAGAGAAGACCTTAAAAATCGGATGGTGAGATCTTTCCACACCATTGCTCATAGCTATAAAAACTGTGTCCAGTAGATGCAGTCTCCTTCTCAACTGCTGCATGCCAAATACGTTAGTGAGACTTGAGCTGTGCTTTTTATGAAATGGCAACCATAACAAACAGGATTTTCCAAAGTGCTGAGCATTGCTTATTGGCAGTATTTACTTTTGAAAATCGTAGTCCATAAAGATGCCAGTCTTTTGTCTTCAGAGTATCTTTATCAGTGTCAGTAAATGTAGCACACCAAGTAACAGGGAAGAAGATTCGATACTTGGGCCCTGTTATATCATGAGTGACGTAATGTTCCCAGATGTCATCCAAGATTGCTGTCACCATAGTGCTATATACCAGGGTTTGGCTTGCCCCTGTAAAGCTGTAGTGACTTGATTGAAACAGTTGGAAATAATCAAACCTCCTCCTTTTTTGGTGTAATGTATACAATAGGAAACCCTTTAGAGATTCTCTGCATGTTCATATTCCTGTTTTTTGCTTTTGGTCTCTAGGCTTTGACTGGTCAGCAAGGTCTTCCAGGCCTTAAGGGAGAGAAAGGGGATTCATCCTATGCAACAGGCAGAGGTGCTCGTGGGGACCGTGGTGCAACAGCACCCAGAGGACCTTCAGGCATCCCAGGAACCCCTGGCAGGGACGGACTTCCAGGCTTGCCAGGCCCACCAGGCCCCCCAGTAAGTTCAGATTAATTTAGCAGCAATGCTTCAGAATTGGAATAAGGAGCAGAGCCAATAGAAAGGCCTGGCTTACTAGTCCTGATTAGCCGTGTGGTAAGTCTCCGAATACATAAAAAGGTCACAGTCCCTGAGCACAAATTTGTCTTGGTCAGGATTAATAATCGGCACTCATTATGCCTCTGGCCACCCAGTCAAAAGATAAACTTCCAGTAGTGGGGTAGATGATAATGCTGTTTTATGTTGTGTCCTAAAAGATAAAAGACACTGTAGGCATAAGTATGAGTCAAATCTTGGAACAGAAAAATCACATCAGAATCTTTGTAATTAAAAAGAAAGTAAATGTCTTTCAGAATATGTAATATTTACATTTTGGCAAATACAACATAAAATATTATTTTTAATAGTCACTTGAGCTTTCCTGCATTTTGAAATAATGATGGATAATTTACAGTGGTTTCCATGTACCTTCCCAGGCCCATCTGAACCTTGCACAGAACCGACCAAACTCTTACGCATTTGTTAAAATGATAGTGGTGTATATTCTTTCTACATCTCTTTGATTTTCAGCTGTAACTGTCTTTGCTGTGCACAGGGTGATGGTGGGCTAGGTTTCCCAGGTGAAAAAGGACTGCCAGGATTACCTGGCTCCAAAGGCCATCGTGGAGAAACTGGTTCTCCTGGCGTTGGATATCCAGGTCCTAGTGGAGTTCGTGGGCCACCAGGTGACCCAGGAATGGATGGGTTTCCAGGACAAGCAGGTCTTCCAGGCCCTCCAGGTAGGTGTTGCTGGGTCTGCTCTTATTTTGAAAAGGTGCAAAGCTGCTACAAGTCAAATGGCACTCAGCTTACTGCTGTGCTTGTAGCCAGGCCAGAAGATTGCATTAGATTAAAGATTGCTCTTTAAATTAATTGAAACTGCTCTGTGGGCTCACCAGACCTCACACAGCAGTCACAGCTTTCTCAAGTTGTCATGCTCAGGGGGGGCACAGATAGTAAGCAGCAAATATCTGAGTTGAGTACTTAAATACTAATAGTGTTGGATGAAGCTACTCACTGACTTTTGCTGGAGAACCATTTTATACCAAAGGTAGTTAGGAAGATTGATAAAATGAAGTTTTTTTAAAACACAGCCTACTTCATTGTCCAGGTAAAAACAGTAACTGACTGGTATCTGAGACTTCTGAATCAGTTTTCAAAACTCTTACTATTATTGAAATAAGAAGAGCTCCAGAATTTTTTTAAAGAAGAAACTGTAGTACATTGTATGTATGAACAGGCATTGGTAAATAAGACATTGTCATGGCAGTCAGATAGGGAGTTCAGTTACGACTGTTGCAGCCATCTCTGGGCTGTTTGCTTCCCTGAGGTACTACAGTTTGGCTCAGTTGATATGTCATTGTATGTACCTAAAGCATACCATAATGACATGTGATAAAGTCAGTACATACAGGTTTGATAATGTTTCATGTATGATGTTTTATGTTCCTTCTCAGCATTCGAACTGAGTTAGATGGAAAGTCATATATCTAAATGTTTATGGAATTTTTTTCGTAACAAAATGACTGCACAGAGCTAGTCCCAATGTCTTGATTCCATGTCAGCCATTTAAATGTAATTTAAGATAAACAGTATTTTTTCTTTGCTGCTGCTGATTTTCAGTGTATTTTCCATTCTGTGTATACTTAGGCTTCTACATTTGTAATTCAGTCAATATCAATAAAGCAGAATCAATAATAAATTTGCAGGCATAATATTGTTACATAAGTTTCTGGACTGATAAACTGATGTTCTGAGTTCAGAACCTTGGCGGTAAGACTACTGCAGTATGAGGAGCTGGTGGAGGAATATTAAACCCAGAGGGAGGTGAGAGCTAGGCCAGAATAGCACTGGGAAGGTTGCACAGACATGCCGGATGGCATGTTCCCTCACATCAGTGTCATGCTGGGTTGTTGTTATGGGGTGAGGAGACAGCTAGCATTAATATCCGCCTGAAACAGTCTGCATAAGCTTTTTTTCCAATTCAAGTCACATGCTAAATGCTAAAAGCTTTACTAATTCGTAGCTCTGAATGCTTACATCTTTCTTTGGTAAATTGTCTCTTACAAAATCCACTAAATTAAAATTGCATTGTGAGATAAGTAAAATACTCTGTGCATGATGTGAAATCTAGATATTCTGTGGAGCACATCAGAAGCCAGCTTATTATGAATGCTACATCAAAGCTTTGCTAACAATGAATGGTCCTTTGTAGAAGAGTATCTATACTCAAAATACGTGGGAAAGTGTGAATAAGTCATTAGCCAGTTCAGTTTGCACCTCCATAGAGATGTGTAAGAAAACTTGCGAATGCGTCATTCCCTCCATCCTAAGAAATAATTTGCATACATTAAAAGGCCCTTTGATACCGTAAGTTTCATCTAATATTAAAGAAATGTGTGTGGGTGGAAGAAATAATCATTTCTTATACTGCCCAGAGTGAAAGGCCTTATCGTGAAAATGAGGAACGACATTTAAAAAGAGACTGTGACCTACTGAAGTTACCACGTCAGAGGCACCACTGAGGAATTTTGCTTGAGTTCATGCCATGTGCAGTAATGCAGGGTGAAACAGTCTTGCTTTGGAGAAGTCTAACTCAGTGTTTTATAAATAGCTAGACTGATTTTACCTGGTATTATGAGATTACTCAAAAATGTTGGAATTGCCCCATATTTTGCTTTTGTGCCTGACGTGATGGTTTCATAATTGATTAATTTCCTTGATACTGGGATATTATTGTGTAAACTGTGATAATGTATTAAGTAGCTGGGGAACACTAAGTTTTGCTTAAATAATTTTTACACTAAGCCTCGCTTACATCATTTTGCAAAACACCCAAGGAAACAGTCCTATTTGCTTTTCAGTTATCCTCACGTGAAATATCAATTGTTCAAGTGTTCTGCTGCTGGCTAATAATGTCATATACAGAATATGCTATTATACAGAGCTGGGTTTGGAGAACTCATGTAAGACAGTCCTTAAAGCCATGTGATGTGAATGCAACAGTATTAACTAAACCTCCCTTTCCATGCCAGTTGCTGCCCCGAATGCTTGCTTTTTGAAAAATATCATTCTTTATTGTACTGTGTCTGAGGAAATGTCCCAGAGATTGACCTCAACTTTTTGTTTTACAAAGCATTCAGCATCAGGCTCACACAGGATTGCAGAAGATCAGAACTGGAATTTTCATTTTGTGTCCATACCATTTAACTTTTACTTATCAAAAGAATGCCCTGTCCAAGTGTACCCAAGTGCAGGCAGCAATGTGTGTGTTACATCTTGCAGTCATGATATTCGGTGCCCATACCCATTCGAAGCATAAATTGGATCATGGGTATTTTAGTTTTGAACCTCTGTTCTTAAAGCTAGTGCTGACTCCAAAGATGAATTGCTGTCACAGATGAAAATAGCATGCTGGCTTTGTGTAAGAATGGAAGTGTTATTACAACTCTGTGTAGATACGTTATCATGAGTATAGTCATTTTTAAATGAATTTTGCTATCAGTGAATGCCTGACATCAAGATGAAAGTAATGAATTGAGAACTGACCTTTGGTTTTCTCAAATCAAAGTAGAAAATGTTCTGATGTTTCCTTCAGAATTTGCATAACATCTCAATATGTGGGTAGATTAGACACCCGAAGGGTTGGGTTCCCTCTCGTTCCCTGCTACATCCCACTTTCCACATGAGCCTTGCTTGTTTCTTTCTGCTAGAGCTGATACCTGTTAGCAGCCCCCAACTAGCTGGAATTTGAGATTAGGATTGTTCTTTCTTCTCACAAGTCTGAATAATGAAATCAATCACACAAGTCAGAATAATGAAATCATGAAAATTAGGGTCGAGTGTGGAATGAAAGGGGGTAGAAATGGGAGGTCAAACCAGAACCACTGTCTGTCATTTGGCACTGTGAGAGAGTGATGCTCAAATCTGCCTACCCTTGACTGGGTTTGGGGCTGGACCCGAAACGGAAAGCTTGACTTTCTGGCTCCGGTTGGATGTAGGCGTTGAAGTCAGAAGATTTTCACGCAGTCTTTTCTGAACCGAGTTGGAATCTATTGAGAAGAACCCAAGAATGTCATTGAACTGTCTTAGCACTGTTTCAACCAAAAAATTCATAGGGATCTTTACAGCCTTTGCACCAGAAAAGACATATTGGGTTACTTTATGAGTTAGTGTCCTGGCCTATGTCATTTTGAGGCCCCTTAATCCCCCTGTCAGTGACGGAAGCAAAGAGCCATATTTATTATCCATACAGAAGTCCACTGATTTGATTGGATTTATCCAGGAAATAGTTTGACTCAGGGTCTTTTGTAAATAAAATTTGTTAGTCATCTGAAAATGTTAATCTTTTCTGAAAAAGAAGTGTTTAACTTGTGTTGCTGTGCTGGAAGAAATACTTCCAGTGTTGCCTGATTTAGACCAGATTACCTCCTCAGGACTGAAAGCAGTCACAATTTGGAGTCCTCTTGAATGGCTGATGAATAAATTTGGCTTGTCAGTCTGGGAATGGAGCTTGAATAGAAGGATCCTGCAAAGAGAGTTGTAAGGAGATGAGGAACCATGTGTCTGTGATACCTGATTATCTCACCCTTAATCGGCCTTGTAGTCGATGCCAGATTTGAATTAGCAAATATTGGGCAATAGTGCAGTTAGGCAGCTGTTTCTCTGGGCGTATAAAAGTGTTCAGAGTAATGAAAAAAACCACCTCTCTTCCCCCAATTTGCTTTAGTAGTCTTCTTTTGTATGTAAACTCTCTGACTAAATAGCTTTTAAAGTCCTTCGGATTTTCATTTTTAGAAAGTATATCTAGGATAGCTTAAGGCTAAGCCAGATGTTACAGCATAGGAGCTAATTTTATAGTTCTAGCACCGACTCCTCTTAAAATAACTGGAAGCATTTCTGGAGTTGGGAAGTCTTGAATTAGTTTTTGTGGTAATCATTGCTGTGACTGTGCGAATGTGACTTCAAATTGTCAGTGACCTACAAGGAGGAAATGTTGGAAGTGTTTCAGATCTTTCAGGTAAATCTGATGTGCTAGCAACTCTGATAATGCCACATAAATTTCATTCCACTGAAGAGGGATTGCTAGTGCAGAGCCTTTTTTTGAGAGGTGGAAATCAGTCAAAGAGCTTCGCAATTGCTGAGTCTTGTTTGCTGCTAATAAAATTTTAAGCCATGTGGATACTTCTTAGTCTGACGGACTGTAGAAGAAGCAGTTGGAGAGTAATGCTGAAATAAAAAATCCTTGCTATTCCACCCTCCATGCCTGTATCTCTCTGGCCTAAACTCTTGGGTGACAGGTTTTCTTGAACACCTGTCAATATTCCCTAGATATGTATTTTATCTTGCATGTGCACATTTATTTTAGAATTTCACACTATAGCTTACTGTTTATATACAGCTTAGAAACATCCTCGATTTTTAGAAGTTAGAAACCTGCCAGCTCCCACTGACTTTGAAAGCTCTCAGCCTGGACCTTAAGCTCTCTAAGTCACAGACTGCATAGCCCTACCACAGGGAGGACCAGCCGCTGAGTGGAAGCCATGGATATCATGCTACAAGTAGTCCACAGCAGTTGTTGCTGCCTTTTACTGGTCATGCAGTAAGTCAGTAGTAGGGGTGAGATTAGACAATTGCCAGGCTTCGAATGCCTTTTCTTTTCTTTAGCATCACGTATTTGAGATGTCAGCAGTGTTTGGTGTGCATAAGTTCACTCACAGCCACTTGGGATATGTCCTGTAAAAAACATCTGGATACTAAATGTTCCTCTTCTGACTGTCTCTCTGAAAGGGGCTGTGTGCAACCTCAGTGTTTCTTTGTTTTAGGTATCACCTTGCCCTGCATAGTTCCTGGAGCATATGGGCCCCCAGGGACTCCCGGCTTTCCAGGACTGCCAGGTAGGGAGACAAGCTGATTGTAATGCACTGGCTGACTACCAAGAAGCACTGATTGCTCAAGGAAGATAATACCTGCTAATTAATCTCCTCCAAGTGATAGTTATTCCAGAGAGTTAACTGGCAGAACAATGTTCTTTTTTTTTTTTTTTTTTTTTTTTTTTTTCCCCACAAAGAGACACG